GGGCGGGATACATTTTGCACGATGTTTTGGAGATGAAAAAGCTATCGGCACGATGGGTGCCGCGTTTGCTGACCATCGATCAAAAACAGCAGCGCGTTGATGATTCAACAGTCGGTTTGGCGTTGTTGCAGCGTAATCGAGCGGACTTTTTTCGACCTTTTGTGACGATGGATGAAACGTGGGTCCATTACCATACGCCTGAGTCCAATAGGCAGTCTGCAGAGTGGCTGAAAAGCCACGAAAGCCGACCAAAGCGGCCAAAAGACCAACGCTCGGCCGGGAAGGTTATGGCCTCTGTTTTTTGAGATGCGCATGGCATAATCTTCATCGATTACCTGCAGAAGGGAAGAACAATTACGGGAGAGTATTATGCAGCGTTATTGGACAAACTGAACGACGAAATAAAGAAAAAACGGCCCCATATGGCGAAGAAAAAAGTTCTGTACCATCACGATAACACACCGTCACACACCTCCTTGAAAGCGATGGTCAAAATTGGACCAATTACGATTCGAATTGGTTGCTCACCCACCGTATTCTCCAGACTTGGCTCTCAGCAACTATTATCTGTTCCCAAACCTCAAGCGGTGGCTCCAAGGAAAGAGATTCACATCGAATGAGGAAGTCATCGCGGAAACCGAGGCGTATTTCGAAGGCTTGGACGTTTCGTACTACAGAAAGGGCATCGAAATGTTGGAAAATCGTTATACCAAGTGTATCGCCCTTGAAGGCAACTATGTTGAGGAATAAATATAACTTTGCAAAAAACGCTTGTTTTCATTAAAAATCCCGAGACTTTTCAGCCCATGTAGTAAAAGCGTATATAATTAAGAATAGGCTAATGATTTTAGATTTGTAAAACATGCGATTTAAGTTAGATTTAATAGTAGATTTAAAATTAATTATAATTGTAATTGTGATTGTAATTTTAATTGGAAATTAATGGTAATTAAACAGTAAACATCTTTTATTTTTTTTATGTAACATTTACTTATTATACTTTCAGGTCTAATAGCGCCAAGTTTTTTTACATAAAAAATTTTGTTATTTTAATAAAATTTTCTCATTTTGTGATGCTTTGTCTTTAATTTTTTTAGATTAAATGTTGTATTCTATTACAAATGTAGAAAACTCTTGAACAGAAAGATAAAGGTACGTCACTTTTTCTTGTTAATTAAATGTTATATGTTGCAATAAAATATATGTTCTTTTCGTAATTTACAAAGTACAATAGTATATGTTATATGTTACAAGAAAATATATATTCTTTTTGCCATTGGCGCAATTTAAAGATTTTATTTCATTTTTTTTAATACATGCATACGTACTACTGAGGGATAATTTATAATAAAAAATTAACAACATTACCATTTGAATTATATTATTCATGTAACGGTTTTTTTTAGTTTATGAATAATAATTTTTTATGGATTTATGGGAGGTACATGTACGCTTGGAGTCTTTTTTTTACCTTTTTTTAAAAATATTATATAATTATTATATAATATTATAATTATTATGTAATTAATATTATATAATATAATTTTGTTGGTACTATTACAAAAGTAACTTCAAGTATCTTTAATTTAAAAAATCATACTGTGCGCATTAAATTCTATACACTATTCATGAAACACTCCATCCAATTTACTATATATAGCTTCAACTCAAGACATCGTTAAAAAGTGTCGTAGATAAAAAGCATACAATAAATACCTTGGAACCTAGTGTAAAGACATAATATTATAAGGATAGTTACGTTTATAGTAGTTTATAC